TGGAAATGACTGGAAATCATGTTCTACTCCAGAAAACCGTCACTGCTGGCTGGAGAGCTCTGATGGACACAACTTTAGTATTCATACTGACTATGAGACTATGTATCCGCCTGGAGTGCTTCGAGAGGTAACAATCACTTCTACTGCTCGAACTTGACACACACTGACCCATGTTTGTAGTATTGGCTTGTGGTCGATAACAAGACCATCAACGGCGGCGGCATAGATAATCCGTACGGAAAGGTCTTCAACCAAACCTATCCCGGCCCATGGATCAAGGCCTGCTGGGGTGATCTCATCAGAGTCCACGTCACAAATAAACTGCGATATAACGGCACCACGGTTCATTGGCATGGTCTCAGGCAGAACGGAACCATGGAGATGGATGGCGTCAACGGCGTCACCCAATGCCCCATCGCTCCAGATGGTACCTCTACATATGAGTTTCGCGCTCTTCAGTATGGCTCTTCTTGGTATCATAGTCACTACTCTCTACAATACGCCGACGGTCTCGCAGGACCCATAACTATCTTTGGACCGTCGTCAGCTCACTATGATGAAGCGAAGGATCCAATTCTTATCACGGATTGGAACCATCGAAGTGCTTTTCAGGAGTGGGAACAAGAACTAACTGGTGTACCTACTCGCCCTGAGATGAATAGCATATTGATGAATGGAATTGGTGAGGCACATCGGCCTACATATTTCGTTCAATGCTTACAGAGCACTTCTAGGAAACTTTGCTGGTAGCTTTCCACGAGAACGCTACAACATAACCGTAACAAAGGTAAGACTGGAGGTGATGGATTTCTATGTGATGCTTACTTTCCTCTAGGGCAAGAAATATCTTCTACGTATCATCAACACATCTGTCGATACTACATTTCTGTTTGGTATCGATAATCATTATCTTGAGGTCATGAGTACCGACTTTGTCCCCATTCATCCCTATACAGTAGACCATATCCTCGTCGGAATTGGTAAGTCATGCAATATCATTGTAGCATCTAAGACTAACAATATCAAGGCCAAAGATATCACGTAGTTCTTCATGCCATACCTAGGAACGAAACCAAGTTCCCTGTGTCAGATAACGGAAACTACTGGATTCGTACTGTTGCGGCAGATGGCTGCAAAGGGTTTGAAGATGGTAACGAGCCTGATGAGAGGCAAGGTATTCTTAGATATGAGCCTGTGAGCACAGAGGTACCTCAGACCTGGAGAGACAACTGGACCAAGGACTGCGCCGATGAGAAGTATGAGAAACTAGAGCCTGTCCTGCCATGGTCAATCCCTCCTGTTAGACTTCACGAGAGTCAGTCAGCGCCGGTGCAAATCACATGAAAACCCTTTGCTAACATGATGAAGGAGATAGGAGTAAGGACCTTGAGCTTGGTATAGAGAAAGTAAAGGATAGGCCGCACGCTGGAGACAAGTTCAGCTGGTGGGCTTTCGGCGAGCGACCTCTTTGGCTCGACTTCTCGAAACCAACTATCACGCTTCTAGAGGAAAGTAAAGAATGGCCTGATGATTACGTGATTGTTCCAGCAGAGAACAGAGACGGTTGGGTCTATCTCGTAATCACGGCTCCGTCACTTGATCGGATTGGCACCAACAAGACCTTTAGGTCCCTTGCACACCCGGTAAGTTCAGTCCACACGATATACTGATCGACTTGTGCTGATATCCAACAGCTGCATCTACACGGGCATGACTTTGCTCTTCTCGCCCAAGGCACAAACTCCTCGCAGATAAATGACCTAAAGAACCCGGTCACTCTCAAATTCGATAATCCACCCCGGCGTGACGTTGCACTGATACCAGCCGGAGGTTACCTCATAGTCGCCTTCAAGGCCGATAATCCTGGCTCTTGGCTGTTCCACTGCCATATTGCCTGGCACGCTTCAAGTGGTTTGGCACTGCAGATCATGGAGCGCGAAGAGGATCTGAGGAAGATGATGACTCCGGAGAAGTTGAAGCAGGTCAACGATGGATGTAAGAAGTGGAAAGATTGGTATGGCGACGGGAAGAACCATTGGAACCCTGTTGGCGTGTTCCAGGACGATTCTGGCGTTTGATCTACGGGGATTATGCTTGGATTGGTACTTTATGTACGGCGGTTACTTTCGACCATCAGAGATGGACCTTTTAGTAAGGGTGCTCGACTTTCTAGTTTTACTGATATGCACAGATTTGTATGCATGCATAAGAGAGGGACCCGGATGCCATCTATGGGTGTATCGGGCTACTTGATAAGGAAAGAAATTCTGCTAGCAAGAATTGATTTTATTTAAGCCTCCGAAATTTCTATCAACCCATAATTGCCAATCCGGATCCAGTTTTGAATCCTCGAGACGTTTAGTAGCAGTGTGCATATTATTGGGATGTTGAATAGCCTGGTTGATGCAGGTATATTGAGCCTGGAAGGGCGTTGCTGTTTGTAAAGGGCTTGAGAGGTTCACCGAGTCACTTATGATTTTGGAAAATCATCCAACTTGTGACAAACAAACTGAAAGGAAGCCTGATTCAGGTTTTATCTAACCGCAATGCATCCTCTTATTCAGGTTATATCGACCATCGATTTCGAGTAATAACTGATGGGCAATCCAGTGATACTACATTGAATAGTGAACCACTACAACGAAAGTCTTCCAATCAAAGAAGCTTTGGTATTTATTTGTCCTTTGGTCACAGCGGACCTCACCCTATAAGACGGAGCAAGTTTCTCATGCCAGGAGTCTCTCAAGCATATCCATACTCGTTTTCCTCTACACGCAACAGTCTACTAGTCACCATGCCTCACGAATATCGTCTCTACAGTAGCCGTCCAGCCTGGGGCTCACCGCGTACCATCCAAGTATTCATCACAATCTCGATCCCCGATCTAGATAGAGACTTTCAATGGACACTCTCCGCTTACGATACAGTTACTCATCTCTGGCAAAACTTTGAAGTTGTTCGAGCCCACCGCGGCAACTTTTGCAGGATATATCGGCATTCAAATAACCCGCGAATGCTTCCGTCCTAAGTCGCCTGGGGAAAACTTTGTACAGTAAACGCAGAGTGGTTTGAGAGTCTCGTGAACATGATTTGCATCTCACCGTTCTGGAGCCTGGCAAAGGGTGAGATGCGTAATGATAGTAAGGATTTCATATATGGGATTTTGGATATTCTGAAGGCACATAATGTTATTGACGAGAAGAGGATCGTCGGAGTGAAGAGGAGGCTGAGCCAATACATTGGACCTTTTGGTATTTGATATATATGAGACCTGTGAGTTATTCCTCCTTATGTAAATAGGCACTAAAGTTGGTAACTCATTCAGACTCCTCCTTTTAACCTCCGAGTAGCCAACCATAAGAGCAAGAGGCAGTAACATATCGGTAATTTTTCTCCACAAAGTTCCTGATCTCAGCTTCCTCTTCGTCACTCCGGACTATATCGCGAGCAGCCCGATTCCCGTCAAAATGCGAAATCCTCTGTATTCCCGGAACTGGAAAAACATCACCACTTATCTTTCTGCTCATATGCCGTTCCCCCGATGAAGTCAGTAGTTGGAAGATATCGACAGAAGTGCGTTATTGCCACGATGGCTACACCAAGCTTCCGGCATTTGTCAAGGATGTGAGCCCCCTTTTCTCTCTCACAGTAGAGCCCGAATGCAGAGTAGTCGATCTGAAACGTGGTAGTAGGGGCGATCTTGACGGCTCTACGGAGAGTCCCTGAAAGAAGAGCTGAGAGCTGAGGGCCCTATACGTTTAATATTACCTTCACCAAGAAGATTTCTATCGGAATTCCTTGCCTTTCTGCGAGGTTTTTTACCCTTGCAACTCATTCAGGGCACTCATGGTTCCTAAATAGGCGTCTCGGGGTTGGTTGGGCGCAGATAATCTATAGAAGTCATAGTCAGAGTTTCAGCCGATATCTATACTTACAGAGATCAATAGACACAATATCCAGGAGCCGTAGACTCTTAGCACATGCTCCTTTGACTTATGCATTTGAAGTGTTGGGCTGGAAAGTCTGGCTATTCTTGACATATCCAAATTTGATTGCAAGAAAGATATCACCTCGTTTCTCAGTTCATCTGAGCCCCTTGCCAATCATTTCTTCGTAATTGTTACAGTAGCTTATATTTGGTTAGCTGGTATTTGGGTACTGTCAGACTTTGGGACTTACTCAGCACCATCCTAAAACGTCACAACTGGCTCATAAGAATGGTCAAGGAACGAGAATATTTCATCTTGACTAGGGCTAGCTCCATATGTTAGACGGGTTAAGCCTATGGTGCCCAAGCCCGTGTGAGAGATGAGATGGCCATTCTTGCCAAGTGGAAATCAAGGGTCTGTTTAAGCTGACATGATGATAAGAATTTGAACAATCTCAAGTTCGAATTTGTTCATCTGTTGGGCTGATTGTCTGGTAAGCAATTCATAGTCGCAGGCTTCAAGCTCGACCATTATATGACCCAGTACGATGTTTTCACGCATCTTGACGGAGATCGGGCTTGACAATTAACGTATAAATAGTCTCTCAAGTCTTATCTCCGGCTGAACTGTAGCATACAACAGGCTCTCAAAAGTTTCCGCAGCGGACAAACTTATGTATAAGTATTATCTTGGTACTCTTACACCCAAGGTTCTGACACTTGGTATCTGAGCCAATCAGACCTTGCAGTTTCCGAGCAAGCCAATAGGAAGTGCAGATATGGATGACGATCCTGTCAGCGGAGTAGTCCGCGGGGTGGCAGGGCACGCTCAGTACGTAGACCCTCCTGTAGCGCCCCCAACCCGCGGGCCTAGCAAGAATATTCCCGACTTATAAGCTCCAGGGGCACGTTCAACGACGCCAAAATGCCATCTCCGCTTAAATTGATAACCAAGCAGATCCAAACGTTTCCGAGCAGACAAATCAACTCCGTTTCTTCCTTTCTTCCTTGTTAGATTGTTTGGTAGAATGGCTCGAAAGGGAAAACCCAAGGTCAAATCGGGTTGTAAAACATGCAAGTGAGTACTTGACAAGAGAACAGGAGAGACAAGAGAACAGAGGTTAATGACTTAGATTGAGAAAAGTCAAATGTGATGAAGGTCGCCCAGCCTGTCAGAGATGCCTATCAACAGGTCGAACATGCGACGGATACGGAATCTGGGGCGGAGGATCACACGCTCTCACACAATATTCCCAGTCCCAGTCCCAGTCCCAGTCCAGGCCCAAGTTCACCCTTGGCGCTCCCCTAGAGACAACCCTCGTCCTGTCTCTAAACGCAAACGAGAAGCTCTACTTTGACTGGTTCAAGTGTCGCACTTCTACCAAGATCTCAGCCACTTTCTCTTCTGGCTTCTGGAACACCCTCGTCTTCCAGGCTGGCTCTAGAGAACCCGCCGTGCTCCACGCCCTCCTTGCGCTCAGTTCAGCACACAAGAAGGGTGTTGTGACGTTGGACATACATAGAAACTCGCCCACCTCGCAGATGAGCCAACAGGAGCAGTTCACGCTGCAACAGTACGTCAAGGCCATTGCACATCTGCAGCCACACTTCAATGCCAAAGACAAGGAATCGTGTCGTGTGGCGCTCATCACTTGTGTTGTCTTTGTCTGCTTGGAGTTCTTCCGGGGCCACTTTGCTACGGCGCAGCTTCACCTGAAGAATGGGCTTGACATTCTTTGGCAGATGCAGGGTCTTCCCGAAGCTAACTCGGGCATCTTGGCACTGAAACCCTGTCGCGAGTCGACTGATGCTTGGATAGTGGAGGCCCTGTCCAGGCTCCATATCCAGGTTGAGCTCTTCAGACTATTGTACCACCATTCATGTGTTATTTTACAGCCAGCTCACAGCCCCGAGAAGAGTTTTCTTGAATCTTTCTCTAATCTCAACGATGCTTGGAAAGGGTTAGAGCTTGTTTACAACCAGATATTCCATCTTACTCACCGAGCTCGTCAACAGACAATAGCAGCAACAGAGCATACAGCCCGGCAACTCGTCAAGACAAGGCTCGCACAATGGCATGGCATGTTGCAAGAGTTCATGAAAGCGCGGCCTTGTGGCTCAAACATATACTTGCGAAAGGCATACCAGATTCTGAGGATACACTACGCCATGACAAATGTGATGGCTGAGACTTGCATATACAACAACGAGACCATATACGACACCTGTACCGACAAGTTCATCCTACTCATCAAAGAACTTACAAAGTTATGGGAGCTGTCGCTTCATTATGACCTGGAGGACGAGATGCCGTTGTACATCATGACGACTTGTATGCCAAGGTCCATCATCGACATGGGCTGGATACCGTCACTTTACTTCACAGCAGTCAAGTGTCGTGTTCATCGCATCCGGGCTGAAGCAATTAAGCTTCTCAGGACAAGTCCTCACAGGGAAGGCATTTGGGATGCGCATATCGCAGCATGTGTCGCTAAAAAGGTGGTCGAGTTGGAAGAAGGGGACTTTTACGGCAGTGCTGACCTGGGGGATGACTTTCAGCTAAACACCCCAATGCGTGATCTGGATTATCAGGTACCATTATTACCAGAGTCGCACAGAATGAGTGAAGTTGAGGCTGAGCTCTCAGGTGCTCCCATGGACAAGATCTTGCTTTACTGTAAGCGGGAGCAAGAGGGAGTCAACAGAAGGGCTCTCATTTCGGAGTACAACGTGAGCGAACAAGCCTGGAAAGACATATGAGAATGATTGATGGAATAATGAGGCCATTGAATGAGAAATATCAGCGTAATTTGCAAGTTCAGTTAAACAATAAACTACCTACTTATTCACAAGTTCATGTTTGCTTGGTTGGAGGTGGTATACATATTAAGCGATAAGATAAGCCCAGTCTCCGTTTCCGAGTCGGCGCCCGGAGTTTCAAAGTAAACAATTGACTAAACGCGGCCGCGGGGCAGGCACTCACCGTCAAGCACCTTGATAGCACAACCCTTCCTCTACTACTCTACTACTACCCCCCTCTTTTCCAGCTATTCTTTTACCTTGCTTTTTCTTCTCTTCTCCTCTTGGGGAGTGATAGTCATGGACTCTGAATCTGTCGTCGCCCAAGTCCAGCGCAAAATCGAGCTGCAAGCACCCGAGGATCTCTCATATCTCATCGCCAATGTCCGTCGCGCAGCCGCAGAACGTATCAACGAAGCATTCCCCGTGGTAGATGGCAATGATGGAGAGGATGAATTGCGAAATCATATTGAAAAGCTCGTCAACGAGGTACTATCCCTTATTAGATCTACTCTGTGACGCAAGCAAGGCTAACAAAGAACCAGTACATCGACAAGACATTCTCCCTCGCCTCTCCAAATCTCTCGATAAACGGCCTCCCCGTATCCCCAGACTCTTTCCTTTCCGAATCAAAAGTCGAGCCCGATACCGTTTACGAACCTTTTGATACACGCAAACGTCGGCGTGTCGCAGATTTAATCACACAGGAAGAAAAGCTTCTCGAGGATGTTGCGGCGTTGAAACGCTCGGTACCCGCTACGACGGCTGAGGCGCAAGCAGAGCAACTACGCGACAGTCTAAAGCGCGACGACGATATGCTCGAAGCACGAAAACAACAGATTATAGCAGAGGCCGCTGAAGTGGATTTGGACGTCCAACCACTAGAGAGACAAGATGGAGTGGAGAAAGGATTCCGAAGAGCTGTCGAGGGTCTGGGAAGATTGAAGCGCGATATGCCTGCCGTGGTGGCCAAGATGGAGAGAGCGCGCGTGGCGGGCGAGTATGTCGTTACGCAGGGACGATAAGAGACATCCCTTGTCTTTATTGCATATATACCCAGGGCGGCGATCAGTGTATTACAAACAGGGAGTTAGGGCGCATTGGATTGGGTTGGATTAATCGGCAATATCATTTCACATGTTACAGCACAAATCTCGAGATCGCGTCTATTGTTGAGAATTATTGCAGCCATAGTCAGGAACCTCAGCCAGCCAGCATCTAACGTAATTCTAGGCACGCACGAAATAAAACGTCCACATGAGCATGTTTATGCACCGAGCGAGAACAAGAATGGGGTTGGAAGAATTCTTTTTGTGCTCCCTACAAACGTCACGCTCCGCCATACACTCCTCCAACGTGTTTTTACCATATATATATCCGTATCTTCGCTCAGATATCCTCTCAACCCCCATTTGTTGAAAAACAAAAGCATGGTAAACGAGAGAAAATATGTGGTCTATATTAAGACGTAGCAAACCCGCCCGTCTATCTTTCTTCCATATCCTTCACCTTGGTACATATACTCTTCTTTAAGCGGCAGCAGGAGCGGGAGCAGGGGCAGTCTGAGTAGCATCAGCACCCTCAGCAGCGGGAGCAGCCTCAGGAGCCTTTGCGGGCTCCTCGATCTCAGAGCCCTTGTTCTCGATGACGTTGGCATCCTGCTTCTTCTCCCACCAGGCGGGACGAGCCCACTCAGGGTCGTGCCAAGGACCAGCATCGCTGTTCTCACAGCCACCTTGGCACACACACTCGCCACCGAACTGCTTGGGGAGGTTCTCGGCGGGGATCTGCTTGAGGAGCTCACTCTTGTATCCAGAGCCGAGAATGTTGATCTTGGAGACGGTGACGGGGTCGAGCCAGCCCTTGACAACACTCCAGACTGTGGAGAAACCCCAGGGGGCGTTAATCATGTACAGCTTGCCGAGGCGCTCGGGGTAGTAGTTCTGGGAGATGACAGAGGCCTGTCGGACATAGGAGTAGACCTGGGGGACCTTGGTGATGGAAACGCCCTTGAGATCCATGATGGTGCAGCATGTCTCGAGGAGATGGCCGGCCTTGCGGGAGCAGGCAGGAAGACGGGGATCGGCGACGCGCTCGTACTCGACAGCGAGGTTCAGGAGCATGCGATCAGCGCTGGTGATCTTGTACATGGCGGTCAGATCAATACCACCAAGGGTCTCGATGTAGATGGGTCGTCCATCCTGTATGAGGAAAAAAACATTAGTCAACATATGTTCTCATGATAGCTCTCCCTCGTCGTCACCGGCTTGCCATACCTTGTCGGTCTTGTGGTAGAACTGAGTGTAGTACTTTCCGATCTCAGCCTTCTCGGGATAGTCCCAGATAGGCACAGTCTCGTCAAGCTTAACCTCCTTTCGCCATTTCTCAGTATCCAGGAACCTATAGTGGCGGTCAGCCCCCTGTCGCTACCAGCACGTTTTCTCGTTTCCACCGCCATCAGATGGAAAGGAAGGGTAGCAAAGTCTTACATGGCTTTGGCGGCCTCGACATCGAACTTGCGCGCTCGGAGGAATCGAAGCTGTTGACAAGGACATTGTCAGTATTTGCTGTGTCGCGTTACATGGCCCTTTTTGTCCAGGGTCCAGCAAGCTTGGGTAGCTAGGTTAAGGTATATCTCGTACCAGAGTCAAAGTGTCCAATCGATCAGTGCAACCTTCGGACTCGAGCATCATGCGGAACTGGTGAAGCTTGGCGATCTGATCCTCTGTGAGGTAGCCGGCGTGGCCATCCTGCTTCTCAGGGCCCTTGATGGGGAAATCATAGTTGTCGTACTTGGGGTCCAGATCCATGGTGATAGATAGATGTTGGTTGTATGGTGGGGTAGAGAAAGAGGGGAGAAAAAAAGAAGAGGAGGACGAAGAATAGTCCGCGGTGATAGAGGACAGCGGAGGTTATGAATTAAAATAGGCCAAGAATGACGCCAAGAGGTTGATGAAGAGTTCAGGTCAAGGGGGCCTCCTACGAATTTAAAGTCGTCCTGTCCTGTCGGTGTTGAGATGAGAACCGTAGCGTAGCCTAATTAACCGTTTCTGGGCTTGTCTGGTCTCCCCTAGAGATGGATCTCCCTCCCTAAGCTAGGTACCTACGGTGGCTAGTGGGACTTCGTCATGGGTATCCAAGTCCACCCAAGTCCACTCCAAGATGCCTCCCGAAGCGGTCTAGCATACCCACATTCCGTTGAGGGGTATCACGTGGTCCTTCACATGCAGATAATTCGATGACTGTTCAGTTATCTTATCTTATCATCGGGCCCGCTCCCGATGTCAATGTCTTTGTTAGTACAACTTCTTTTGATTCGACATTGGTTCATTCTCAATACTTTGATTGAGTCAACCCACCCATAAATTCACCTTTGATGGCATAATTGTTGTCACATCATGAGGAATTCCTCCCAGCGAATCACCCTCAATGTCGCCCGCCTCTTTCACACTTCAGTCGCCGGGCCACGGCTGAGGCCCCATCGACAATTCCATCTCACTTCTTTGGCTAGCTTCCCTCGAAAGCGAAGCTTCTTCACCTCGAATCCCTACCTGTCTCAAGTCGACGACGGATCCCGTTCCGCCTCTGAACTCTCCAAGGAAGAGAAAGGCCCTGCTTCTTCAAAGAGGAAGCCCACTCGATCGAATACGGCCAAGAATTCATTACGTCGAGTTGCTATCATTGCTCAGCAGCCCAAACGAGGCGCAACAGCACCAGGAAGTCCCAGCGATGAACCCTCAAATGTGGTCAGCGCGACCTGCGTCGCAGAATCTTTCAAGATGCCTGTAGTCCTCGAGATTCTCTCATCGCATGGTTTTGACATTGACCCGGATGGCACGGGATTCGACGCAAACGAGGTGGTCCATGCAAGAGGTGTAAATGGTGGAGACATCTTTGTCTTTCCGTCTGGCACAATTGTGACTTGGTCGCTGCCTCCAGATGTCGTTACAAGACAGATCATGCGTGCCGCTGAAGAAGCGCACTCGATCGAAAGTCGAGAGTTTGAGGATCTCGAATTCACAACCGACACAAACCGAGAAGCAAGTGTGCTTAAGGGCGATGTTATTGTTCTTGGTACTCGCAAGGAGCACAAAGAGGCCGATAAGCTAGACACTACTCTAGCAAAGGTTGCTTTCTCGTCGGGTCTCGCTCGAAGCACAAAACTTGCTGTTCTCGAAACGGCCCTGACGTCGTACTTTGAAAGCACACGCAACATCCCCGCACTGCTCTCACAAGGTGCTGGTATACCTCTTGGTCGAAAGTTCATCCTACAAAAGACAGGCGAACTCCTTAGTCTGCGTGCTCGTCTCAACCATTACTCTGAACTCACAGACTCATTGCCGGATATCTTCTGGGACACCAGCTCCGATCTTGGTCTAGAAGGTTACTACGAACAAGTTGGCCGTGCACTCGATGTAAACGTCCGAATCCGTGCATTGAATCAAAAGATGGACTACGCCGCCGAAATCGCCAGCGTTCTGCGTGAGATGTCCAGTGAGCAACATGGCACTCGCCTAGAATGGATCATCATCGTGCTCATTGCCGTTGAGGTAATCTTTGAGTTACGTCGCATTGTGCTTGAGATGCTCCAGGAACGGGAAGAACGGAAGCTTGCGGCTGAACTACCAAAGCCTGTGGTGACACCACCAGCATAGATCGCCAGCCTGGATGTAGATCTCAAGAACTTTTTGTACGACTGAATGAAAAAAACTCCATGTATAACATCATTTGTTTAGGAATAGGTTGAGGATACGACATGTGCCTCCAGGACTGGCTTGATAGATACCCCTCAGCTCAATAGAATTGACAATCAACTCAATACGTTTATCTTGCCCACATACTTATCATCTTTCTCCATATCATGGATGACATACACATACTCACTCAGCCCAGGACCCTTGACATGTCAAAGTGGCACAAACGAAAGTTCATAGACTAAACATATTAAGTAACAATGCAATAGTGTACGTTTTCTTCATCTGCATACACGCGCCAATTCGGCGTCTTGGATTACACAACCAGGAGTTTCCACCCCCAGGTCAACAACTCGATGGGATAGTCCACCAATTCCTAGTTCTTCCCTGTAATGACAAAAAAATATTTCTCTCGTCCCTTTTTCCCCTGGTTGAGTCAAAAAGCCAACTCCTCAGAAAAACGTAGCTAATAAAAACAATCGAGAATCCACCCTCTAAACGCCTCCCCTGAACACCTTTCTCACTCCTCTGGTGCCCTAAGTCTGCCTTGATGATATCATATCTGACCCCTTCCGCTTCGCGTCTCTCGTTTCCAAAAGATACACATGGTGTCGATTATTACAATGGCTTCTGCTGCATGCCTGGGATCGGTGGGACAGGAACAGGAGTCACCTTGTGGGGTGGCGGTGGTCCTGGCGTCCCGCTCATACTCGATCGCTGAGAATTGGGAGTCGGAGGCTTTTGCTGAGAAGCAATACTTGCCCGTGCAGCTGCAAGTCGGCTGGGATCCATAGTCCCTCCTTGGCCAAACCCAGGAGTACCAGGCTGAGTGATCTTGTCAGCGAACATAGTAGACCGCTCTTGAGCCGCCACCCTGGCTTTGGCTTGTTCGAGAATCCGCTGCTGTTGCGCTTCAGGTATAACGGTGTGGTATCCTGTAAGTCCAGGGTTCTGAGCAGGCGTTCCTTGTTGAGGGGGGTTGCTCGGGTACCTGTTCATTTGATTGCCCACAGCCTGATTCGGCGTACCATATCGCGGAGGCTGCTGCACATTAGGCGAGGCACTATAAGCCTGTCTATTAACCTGAGGAGACATCGTGCGCTGCGGCACAGCTTGACCGTTAGTGTAAGCCCCAAAGTTGGGCTGTGAGGGTGTAGCGGCTTGTTGCTGTGGATAGCCTGGTTGGAAAGCGAACCGCGCATTAGGAGTTCCTTGCTGAGCCTGCATCTGTCCAAACTGAGGTCTTGGCTGAGAAGCATACTGGGGCATGTTTTGGTGGCCATAAGGAGTTTGAGCTTTAGCAACCTGTGTGGCATATTGAGCAGGATAACCGTTGGGTCGAGAATACTGATTAGGTTGAGGAGGTCTGGGTTGAGCGGGCATAGGTCGTGGTGCAGGTGTGAAGCCGGGCGTAGGCCCAGGCCGATAGTATTGCTGTTGTTGCATAGAGGGGGTTCGTTGAGGGGTTGCGTACTGGGTCTGGGGAGTATGATGCCCGTAAGAAACTCCCGATACACTAGGCGTACGTTGAGGGGGCGGCCGGGCATTAGCCTGAGCAGCTTGTTGCTGAGCTCTCAACCGAGCCTGAACGCCCGCCTCATCCTCCTCCATAACTCCCTTGTACTTGTCGGTTTGGACTTGAACCTTGGTGCTGATGAGAAGATCTTCCAATTGGTCTCCATTCAGCTTGGCGACTGCATATGGCGGTAGTGTCTTGATGATCAGAGCAAGCTGCGCCTTAAGCATCTCATATGTGGCTTGCTCGCCTTCTGAAGGAGTAGGTCCAGGAGTAGCCAGCATATCGCCATTGACTGGGTCGCTTGACGAGCGGTTTTGCGAGTTGGGGAGGTTAAGGTTTCGGATGCGTTGGTAAGAAGACAGGGTCTCAATCATGTCGCTGACCTCTTCCAAAATCTCGTCAACTTCCTTCTCCTCATCCGCCCGTTTTGTGCCCAGAGCCTCTTCGAGTGATGGATCAACAACAGATTCATCCCAATTATCAATCGCTTCTTGGATAGCCTTCTCGTCGATATCCATAGTCTCATCCTTCTCGGCCTTTTCGTCACTGTCAGCACCACCATAATATTCGATCTCAATCATGTTCTGGAAAGATCGTTGGCCCGATTGCTGCCACCACATTCGGCCCGCAACACTTGACGGCACAACAGCTCCTGAATCATCCTTGCACGGCGCGAAGCTAGAAAAGGCGCCTCGGAATAGCGATTCCATCTCGTGCAGTTCAAGTTCAGTGGTTGAGGGTCGCTTTCCCGCTAGACTTTGCGCACGTTCTCGTTGCTTGGTGATGGTTTGTGATGAAGGAGTCGCGTTACTGTAGTCGAGGTAACATCCAGCAGTCAATTTGGTTGTGAAGTACGACGCATTTCGGAACTTGGAGGTATCTGTCAGTTCTGGTCGATAAAAGTCCAGCACGTTGCCCTTGGCTTGCGTCTTAGGCTGCTTAGGTGGCTGCAGAGGCGGGAGGTTCTTTGGCGACGAGAACAAATCTCCAAGAGTCTGTGTTCGCTCATGAGGCGTTGTCGGCATAACATGAGTTAATGACATTCCCTGGGGTAAGGGCACATCACGCAGTTTGGCTTCATCGGAAATTGGGAGACTGGAGAACAGCCTTCTCTCCTGAGGTGCATATGCAACAAGGGACAGGACCAACTCTCCCTTCTGAGGAGATGGTGGAAGTTTTGCCTCGACTGCGAGAGGGTCGGCCGAAGTTTTCGGGTAAGCCTTTTCTCGTCGAAGAAGTTGCATGGCCTTCTCCTTGAAGTCCGAGATTTGCGCTCTCAATTCCTCGTTGGTCGCTTGCTTTTCATCATCAGCTGGCTTTGTCTTGATCTCCTTAAGAGCGGCTTGGAGAGCCGAGACCAGGTCATTAGCCACTTGGTCTAGATCCTCGTAAGCATTCGCGGCAGCCTTCTCGGAGATGGTAGTCAGATCGGTCGACTTTTGACGCTTGGGTCGGTGTTCATCTTGCTCATCATCAGGGGATTCAGGCAAGGGGCGCTTGAGGATGGAGGGACCGATGTCGTAGCTATTGATGATGGGTTAGTGGATCTGAGGGAGAAGTCATTCGCGACAAAGTTACGATGCGATGAAAAAAGGAAGTTATAAAAAAAAAAGCAGGCATACCTGCTCAGAACTTCAACGAAAGATTTTATCACGTCGCGTTGGTCCTTTTTAGGCTCTCCATTGGTAACGGCAGGTTTTTGCTCGTCGGAGGCATTGTCTTCATCGCGGTCTTCCATTTCTTCCGTCTCGCGTTTTCGCTTTCCCGGAGCGACAGGTTGCGCTTTGTCGAGGCTGGGAGATTCTGAGGTGCCGTTGGCGTGGATGGCCGTGGGCTGGGCCATGGTCGGCGTGGTCATGATGGCTTCAAAAAAGAGCCTTGGATGGTTTTGGTTCCGTCGTCGGGGCGTTGGCCGCGCCTCGTCGCGATACGCGGTAGTTGCAGTACCAGTCAGTGGTTCCTGTTAGCAGCGGTTGGAGCTGGAATGACAGCGGTAGTGGATGGCAGAAATGGGTTATGGGTATGGGGGCCCAGGTCCTCCTCAGTCGCTGGTGCAACTCCAGGTAAATAATATGGAAGTCAATAGCTTTAGTACTGTAGGTCGATATCGATTCAACAGCGGTTGGAGAAGCGCAAACGATTCGATTCCATCGAGTAAACCCACGACACAATCGTACAGTCAATCGATGTAACAGGATGTAATCGAGTCGTAAATTACGCGACAAACACGTCTCAAAGCAATAGTTCAAGTCGAAAAATGGGGGGGAGGATGATTGATTGCCTTTTGGCTCTCTCAGCTTTGGCTGTCCTTTGCTTGCTTTCCTTTGCTTTGCTTTGCTCTGCGCTCAGCCTGCCTTGAGCCTGGGGGGGAAGAATGTGTCTCCTCGATCGCCAAGTACCTTGTACCTCGTCCCTTACTTGTCGCTTGCCAATGTCGGACCCACTCTGTCCCTTTTTTGCAAAGTGAAGCCTCAGGAGTCATCTCATGCACGTGACTGAGCTGGAGATTCAACGGCTCAAGGTGCATACAGTGTTACAGAACATGATCATCTTGGATGACCCAAGCGTTACGATATTTCTTTATTCTAATGGGGATGAAATACCTAAAAGGCCTGGTTTTTTCGCGATTGTTCTACAAGCAAGACAACCGCATTCTTGTGAAGAAGAGTGCCATCCACCTCGAGATCTTTGTTATGTTACTCAACAGCCAGCTCATTAACACCCACAGAGTGGCTGCAGGCCTAGCGTAATCATGATCATGATCAAAGTATCCATTTACCCCAGTCCGTAAGCTAAACTACCTTATGATCTCATCATATCATAAGCACCATCACCATCGAATCACCAACAGAGCATATAGTCAATAAGTCAATAAGGATTCATATTACTGAGCAACAAGTACGAGAAGCCATCTTCTCGATCCCTCACGCTCATGGTCTGTCATACAATTCAAACTAGTCCCATGCGAATATCCAAAGCCATGTCCATGCTGCGTGTTCCATTCGCTATTGTAATTCATACATAAATATTTCACAAGTACCTTACTTGGCACGAGCCAAACCAACGGCGTTCTTGCCGAGGTCATAGACAGAGTAGTATCGTCGGAGGAAAGCATCACCGAGAATAACAAGAGGTCCTACAGGCTCAGGGAAGTCCATGCCCTGGAAGGTAGAGATACAGCTGCCCTGAACCTCAAGGATGTAGTCGGTGGCGGGGAGGCTGTAGTTGGATCCAGCAAGGTTGAAAGTAATATCGGGAAGAGAAGCGCGCTTGTCACACTCAATAGTGTACTGGCCGTTGTAGCCCTTCTTAGCGCCAATCTCCTTGTTCAGAAGCTCAGCGAGAGCGCTGGGGAGGACGTTCAGGGAGGTACCGGTATCGAGGATGGCACCAGTGTTCTCCTGCTCAGCAACCTCATCGCCGAAAGCAATGGCTTCGAGGTCAACCTCCCAGTAAGCCTTGCGGCGGAGGGGAATGTACTCGATGTCTCCAGTGAACTTGGACTTGTCAATACCACCAAAGGTAGCCTCGCTCTCGCCATCCTGGTTATCGAGGTAGAAAGCAAAGACGGGCTCATCCAGAAGCTTCTGGTTGACCATCTGGTAGAAGGGAGGGACCATGCCGTTCACGGCAATGCGGTCGTAGCCGAGACCGAGGATACCGTCGAAGCGACCAAAGGCGAAAGCCAGACCGGGCTCCTTAGTGGCCTCAGCGAAGTCCTGGTCCTTGATCTCGAGGTCGCCGATGGAGACAACATCATTGGAGACGAAACCAGACAAGCTGCCAGATCCGTAGTGGATCTCGAACTCGGTGCCATTTTCCTTGTAAGTCGAGGAAGCGGACGAGTCGTACTTAGAGTGGAGGTAGCAGGCGATGCTGCCACACTGCTGGGAAGGAACCCAGAGGTTGGAGCTACCAGTGTCGAGGACGACCTTGAAGCTCTGGGGAGGAGTACCGATGGTGATCTCGGAGAAGTCTGGGGCGGTCAGTTATGACTAAGATTGGCGACTTGAAGTACTTACACTGAGCGTTCATGAAGTTGGAGACGGGGACGGGGTGGCCACCCTCGACGTTGACGGTGTTGGTAGCGAAGGCGTAATCGGCAGCATTCTTGGGACGGGAGGCACCGAGGTACTTCTGGCCGAGGCTCTGGAGGTGGTCCTCAACGGAGTTGGTAGCCTGAGAATGGTGTTAGAAGCTTTAATGGAACGCGAAATCATCATGGAGATCAAACATACAAGCTGGTCGGCAAGAGGAACCTTGTTGAGCTTCATCTTGTGAACACCGGCCTGGGCAGAGCCCAGAAGCGCGGCAGCAGTAAGAAGAGCGCCCTTCATGATGGACAATCGGGTCGATAATGCGACCAAGTAAATGAAATGATGGAAGAGCTCGACAAGATTGTTACGAGCTGCGATGGGAATGAAGATGGAGATGCAGATGGTGAGTTGAGATGCAAGATGCAAGATGGAGTTGGAGGAGATAAGATGGTTGGTTAATAACGACGGGAAAGGTAAGAAGGCAAGCGAGGCGGAGGAAAGCAAGCACCGTCCGAGCTGTGCTGTGCTGTGCTGTGCTTGGCTGGGGGAAGGAAGCTTATTGCGCGTGCTTGCGGCCTGTTTCGGCGGTTAGTGGTGGGTGTGGCCTGGGCCTCGCACCTCGCACCTGCCTGGATTCGTAAGTTACGCCTCCGGACTTTGGTCTTTTGGTGAAGAACTCCCCTGTTCATGACCTTGTGACTTGGTCTTGCCTGTCTGGCAATGACGCACCATTTGTATCCACTTTCCCTGCTCGGCAACCAGCTCCAAGCCTTTCCGCCTTAGGCATCACGCTTGTCTCATCTTATCAGCCCCAAGTTCAAGCGTATCAGGAACAAACAACAAAACATGCTGTTACTCTTTTACCAGGGTCTGGAACACTTGCTCTTATGCTGTTGTCGTGGAAGATTCGTCAGAGGCTGATGATCTATGATGAGTGTGACATGCACGTAGTATTCGTATGATGCCCCTGGCCTGCTCACACGTTTGCGGTGAGATATTTATGTTAGTGTTCCTGATAGCTTAACTTACAGCGTGGTACCATTGAAGCTAACACTACCTTAGCATTAGCACTCTAACTCCGGGGTTAAACACTGCTCTAGCTTAGCTCGGATCCTCTATCATGCCTTGTTCCTGATCGTCAGATGGATGCATTCTCACCGTGCAAGCAATCACAATAACGAGATGGAAGCGGAATTGCACCAATATGTAACCAGAAGCTGCGTCTCTTCTATTAAATATAAATAATGTCCCTGTGATAAATGCCCTTGCCCCTAACCTGTATTATATATATAGCTACAACCGCCCGGTTGAGCCTTGGCCCATCATAAAAGTCGTCATCATAACTTCGTTACTAGCATCAACCAATTATACTCAAGATCCGCGCATCTCCTTCTTGGAGCGCTCCATCGCTTCAGCAAACACTTGCCGCACATCATCCAACTCGGCATAATGCTTGATCAGTTCCTCCAATCTCTCCAACCTCGAGCCCGTCATATCATCTGACAACTTGCACCATCCAGAATGAAGTGCAACAAAAAGGAATGCTAAGCTTCCACGGCAGACTTGATCATCTCGGATCCAGGAACGGAGTGCGCCTCTTGTTAGGTTGACACTGCAGCCACGGTCTCTAAGTAAGAGTATAAGCAAGCCCTTGAAGCCAATCTGTCCAGCCTTTAAGAATGCTTCAATAGCATCTTGTCCGACGGTCAGAGAACCCTTGAGATATCTCAACATCACAGGCAGCACTCTATCGCCATGTCGCGTGTTGGACGTCGTGTTGATGAGCATGTCCTGTGTAATCTTGAACTCGTCCTCAGCTCTCTCCGCTAACACAACAAACTCCCTTGCTGAGCAAACGCCAGCTGCAGCATCCAAGAGTGGCTGTGTGATCCGTACGCTCTCATCTTTGTGCTCGAAGAGAACTTGCAAGCCAGGAAATCCAAGCTCACATAATGTCTCAATGACAATCTCCTCGTCGATGTCAACGTCGGCAGCATGGTTGGCAAGAAGCATCTCCAGAACTTCGGGGGCCCAGTCGTCGGTGTCTTTCTGTGGTGAAGCTATCGCCGCTAGGACGACTTGTTTCGTGAATCGGACTTGGGATGCTGGCATTTCGAGAAAGATGGCCATAAAGTCAGGTCGGCATCGGGTGTTGGCAAGAGCTAATGTCATGAGCTTCTCGTCGACAAAGCCCTCATATGCCCGGTGCTTAAGAAGAACTCTAAGCATGGCTGGACCCTGACGGTTCTCGATGGCCTTCTCAGCAACGGTCGGTGTGATTTCAATCCGTGTTCCATGCTGTGTGAGCAGGTAATCCATGGTCCTGGGGTGGCATATGCTTGCGATACTCTCCATCATCCACTCGTCCAGTTCGATGTCATCCCCATGGAGTTCAAATAGTAGCCTGAGTATTTGGAGTCCATGTCTTTCATTCCTTATCGCTCCGATCATGGCTGCGTCGCTCCATCTAAAGTCGGGATGATCGAAAATGAGATCCATCATCTCAACGCTTGCACATTCTGCCACGGAGCAAGAAAGATCTTGATCGCGTGAGATCTCATCTTGTCGGAGTGTCATGATCTTTTCCAGCATCCCAGGAGTTCCCCATCTTGCTGCTGCTCGAATGGTATAAGGCGTTAAAGGTTCCCCCTTTTTGAGAAGAAACGCCAGCATCTCGACTCTTCCGGTGAGTATCGCACTAACAAACGGCGACTTGAGTCTCGCATGGTGCTTTTCTCTATCTTCGTCTGTGTTACCAAATCCCAAGTGTTCAAGGTTGTCGCGTCTGTGGTTTGTGGGTGCGTTAGGGGCGGGCAGTTCCGAGCCATTGGGTAATCCTTTGAGGAACTTGATTGCGTCCTCGGCACAACGAAGCTTGCAGATGCTCTCGCTGGCCAATCTCACCCAGTGGAAGTTGTACTCCGACTTTGCTTGGAATACTCGCTTGACCTGGGTGGTACTTGTCCCTGACCATCCTCGCTTGATGGCGATGTGTCGCACGCGCTGGTTGATGAAGATCTCAACATCATGCTTCGACTGAGAGAATGAGTCCAAATCTCGGTGGACAAACTCGCCCAGATACTCGTAAATCTTTGAGCTTGGTCTACTTAGAATGAGAAGGTTGAGATTGACAGCTGGTTTTGGGCCATGGAACGTCTGCTCCATCAACTCGAGCAGAATCGTTCGAGAGGCCGCGTCGCACTCATCCAACCCATCGATGACGCAGAGGATGTGACGGTCGGATCTGAAAGCAACCTCGACTAGCAAGTTCCACAGTGCTTGGGGTTTCTCAAAGACTCGAGCGCCGCGATGCGCATGTCTCCTGCGAATTCTGTCGCTGAGGAAGTCGGGATGGTTCTGAAACAGCTGAGTGAGGAGACCTCGTAGAATGCCCTGAGCCGTGTTCCTCTGCGAATCACTTGGGTCGCAGAAGAAGTACGCGCAGGTGTTTGTGGGATCAGTCGCGAAGTTACTTGTGAGTCTTTCGGCGAGATAGACACCCAATGTCGACTTTCCTCTTCCTTGAGTGCCAGAAAGCCATAGAACTTGCTGGTTTTCTGACTCTGGCTGAAGCCAGCTCCTGACTTCTGGCACATTCATAATCCATTCACAGGTCTTGGGCGCCCTTGGACCCTGCTGTGTTCTGAGTGCATCCTTTGCATATGAGGGATCCGACCAGATGAGATCGTTGTAGAAAGCTTCAATCTGCTTTTCCTTATCCGCGTCGCCTATCAAGTCAGTATATTTACACTCTTGTCAAGAGATGTGGCGTCTTACTTGGAACGTGACGCGTTTCATAGCGCTTATGAGCAACAGTGCTTGTGCTGGGCCACGGATAGTGTCCCAAGAAGCTATCCGGCGATAGAGGTCCTTCATCAGAGGCAGAGAACCGCGACTTCGAAGATCGCGGGGAGTCGTCTTTTGCTCTTGAGAAGCCCATTGTTCGATCTGATTTAATGTGATATTGCAAAGATCAAGTTGTAAACGCGGTTCTTAGCCTGACTTCCATGCAATGCAATAGTCGGTGTATCAATCCCAACGGCGGCTTCAATGTCCTGGCGTGATGCATGCGTCGACAGAGGAGGGGTGGTACCTTTTACCGTCTGTCATAAGTGCAAGCGAAGTGAAAGTCTCATGACAAGAAGATGAGAGGAAAGATACGGTAAAGAAGGAATATCTATCGTATTCGAGATCGTCTGGAATACTGTGGCAATATCTCCTTTAGGGGATTTTTGATTAAAAAAAGCGTTGACATTGATTGATTAGGGGAGCTAAACTAAATTAACAATAAACCGTTAATATCGGTCGGGGGGCTTCCCCTCGTTGAGGAATGTCTAAAGGGGAAAATGGGAAGGCTGGTGTATACGCCAGCGCCAAGATGGTCGGTCCAGGCCCAATGTCATATTTTCAGGGTTGTAACTAGACTCGACCCATGCAGAGGAGGCGACCAAGAATCTGCAATGACGTTAACTTCAGGTTCATAAAAAAAGGAAAACCTCAATGAATACTCCGTATTCTTTGACAATATTTGCACATGATATTCACATCATATTCTCAAGTGTTCTGTTGTCTCTCCTTCATTTCCCCGTCGACTTTAGTCATGCCCCCAGCCTATTAATTTCACATCGAGATTATGCATATCATCCTCGGGCTGTCCAAGCTTCTGCAAACATTTTATCCTAGCCAATCAAGGTAATGAAGACGCGTGAAAGAGAGGCCTCGATGGCTCGGCGCTGTCGTGTAAATGGCCACTCAGTCGTCGCGTTTCCAACCATTGTCAGAAATTAAATAACCAATTATCTGATTGAGGTCCTGATAGTCCCTTTGTGTAGCAACATATTCGTGGAAATTCTTTCCTCTCTCAATTATTCTCATTGATGTTCATATAAAACTTCAAGTGGAATAGTTGCTTCAAATACAAGCTCCCCATGCTTTGCTTTCTATCTAATTAGACGTTGTATGATCTATGTAGCCTTCAGTCTGCGATCACAGCACAGAATGTGAGCTTCCGAGTCCTTCAACGTCGTCGATGCAGGTTGGCTTGAGATACCAGTATATTTACCAACATACTAAGTTATGTATACCTCCGAATTACACTCAGGCTGCAGGCCTTTTCCCCTCGACTGGAACCCCTAATATTCAAGGTACTCGAAACTCGTTGCAAACACTATAAAACTGCAGCACAAATGACTCCAGGCCAGCTCTATACAGAGTTCATTGCCAAGGCTAATAGGCGCTTTGCAAGTGGTAACGTTGACTTTTCGCCAATTTGTTCCCCGAACTTGAATATAAAATACTTA